ATTTAAAGCTTATAATTTCTTTATATTAGCCTCAAAGATGTTGAATGTCCACTGAAAGGAATTTAATTGTTTATGTAACTAGATTAAGACAGATTAATGTGTTCCATAGAACCTGTTCAGCCTATGTCAATTTGAAGTTTTTATTACTTTAACTTCACTAGAATCAATGTTTAGAACTATTAATACCAATTGAGCAGTATAATAAGCATCAAAAGATACATGTATGTGTATTAAAATTATGATTATTGAATTTGAAGATTATGATAAAAAAAAAGACAAAATTAGATACTGACAACTGATAACTGAAAAAAATACTTCTACCCTACAGTATGTGTACTGTAAGAAATAATTTGTAAATTTATCAGTCATGGGGTAGATTTTATATGTATTAATTCCCCTAATATGACCTTTTTACATATATAATATTTATATGTGTGAACTGCAACCCGCAACCTGCAACCCGCAACCTGCAACCTGCAAAATAGCACTTCCCATATTGTTTTACTCCATTCCCTTGACTTTTTAATGTAAAAATAAAAATAAATGCAAATGGAAAATGGAATGCAGGTGAGCTTATATTATACCTGCTTGAAATTCGGGAGGTATATACTTAAGAAACAGGATGTCCGTCTCCTTTTTAAAAAAATAAATACATTTTTTACTTTTAAATCATTAGACAAATTGTAAATGGACAATTGCAACAGAACAGACTCAAGGTTTTGGGTCTTTACATAAATAAAAACTGACTTGGGAAGCAAATTATTTTGTTTGCTTCTTGCACTATATTTATGTTCATGCAAGAAAATGCATATAATTATTTAAAGCTTATTATTTCTTAATACTAGCCTCAAAGATGTTGGATGTCCACTGAAAGGAATTTCATTGTTTATGTAACTAGATTAAGACAGATTAATGTGTTCCATAGAACCTGTTCAGTCTAAGTCAATTTGAAGTTTTTATTACTTTAACTTCACTATAATCAATGTTTAGAACTATTAATAGCAATTGAGCAGTATGATAAGCATCAAAAGATACATGTATGTGTATTAAAATTATGATTATTGAATTTGAATATCATGATTATTGAATTTGAAGATTATGATAAAACAAAAATGACAAAATTAAATACTGACAACTGATAACTGAAAAAATACTTCTACCCTACAGTATGTGTACTGTAAGAAATAATTTGTAAATTTATCAGTCATGGGGTAGATTTTATATGTATTAATTCACCTAATATGACCTTTTTACATATATAATATTTATATGTGTGACCTGCAACCCGCAACCTGCAACATGCAAGATAGCACTTTCCTGATTTTTACAGCGGATGACCGTGGGGGCATTCCGGTGTATTGTTGCCACAGACATTTCTATCCACGTGACTTGCGTTTTTGACTGATAACCGAACGTATCTCATAAAATTACGCGGATATTATCGTGTGCAAAATAACATTCCTTATCGCTTGTATATTATTTTCATCAATAAATATACATGAAAATAATTTTTATGAACATATATAAATGATATGAAAATGTTTTGTCGTGAAAAATATATATATCAATAACAAAAATTTGTGTTAACGCATGCGGAAGACTATCTCAAGAACGTTTTGCGGGAAAATATGAATGCCTACTCAATTAGTCTATTAGAAAAATAGAATTATTACAGAAGAGTGTCCACCATGCACTTGGACTGCACTATTATTAGAATAGTAGAATAGAATGATATACAAATGGTTGAATTCCCTGTCATTTATTCATCATCCACGCACGAACTTGTCCCGGAAAAAAATATATCTATGCACCTTAACCTCACTTTCAGGTATAGAGATGTGAATTTTTTCTGAGACAAGTGCTTGTGGCCGTCCACAAGACCTTTCGGTCATCCGATGTTCAGTACTTCAGTACTTTGATATAATTCCGAGAGAAAACGAATTTTGTTTAGCGGTGAGTGATATGGCTTGAACAACTACACTGGTAAAAATGGGACATAGAGGTTTACTATAGAAGTCTATGGGAAAAATGTAAAAAAACAATTTCAAATGGTCACAACTTGAAAACCAATTTAGATAATGATAAGTGGTCTTCAGTAACTAATGGGATGACTTGATTTTTTTCCTGTGGGGGGGGGGGGGGGGGGTGTGCTAATAATTTCTCCTTGATATGTTCCATTTCCAGAATTATTCAGTGTTACTTTTTCTATAAACCATTATTATATCTTTTCTTTCAGCTTAATCATATTGGGTGAATGCCCCTCAGACCCGGCGGGTTAGTCGGGGCCAGGGGAACCCCTGCCCAAATTTTTCTTTGAAGGCACGGTGTTTCATAAAAATATTTAAAGGCATTTTCAGCATTATACAGGCCCTGGGTGATATAAATGTTGAAGCGGAAGAAAGGAATTTGTTTATTTTTCGTTAATTATCTTGAATATCATTATTGATTGAGATATATTGTACACAGCAAAAATGTCAAGCAAAGAAAGATCTACAAATAAGTTAACATGACCAGTTTGCAATTGACATCTTATTGGAGTTATTGTCCCTTAAAGTTTTTATCTGCAATTTATTGGTAATTTTTGTAAATCTTATAAAAAATCTTCTGCTTTTAATTTAACTACTGGGCCAAATTAAACCAAACTTGGCCTCAATCATTATTAGGGTATCTATATATTTTTAATCTTAATTTACATGATTTCAAAAACCACAGTAGATACAGGTGAGCGACACAAGCTCTTGAGAGCACCTCTAGTCTATTTATATTGTGTCATAGATCAAACTTAATCGTTCAGTGTATATTTACTTGTTTTTATGAATATGTCATTTCAATTGATATTTTTGTATGTGTCTTTTTATGGTGTAATGTTACACCACTGTTTCAGGCTAGGGTGAAAGTTGGCGCACCTGTCCTAAGTCAAGAGCCTGTTGTTCAGTGGTTTTCAGTTGCTGATGTGGTTCATAAGTGTTCCTCGTTTCTCGTTTTTTATATAGATTAGACCGTTGGTTTTCCTGTTAGAATTGTTTTACACTAGTCAGTTTGGGCCCTTTATAGCTTGCTGTTCGGCGTGAGTCAAGGCACCGTGTTGAAGGCAGTACCTTGACCTATAATTGTTTACTTTTTACACATTGTGACTTGGACGGATAGATGTCTCATTGGCACTCATACCACATCTTCTTATTTATATATACCAACAACATATATTTTTTTAAAGAAACATCTGTGGATTTGAAATTTGAGATTTAGTGATTTGAAGACTAATTTAAAAACTTTTTTCGCCGATTTTATGTGCTTTCTATGCAAATGTTCAACTATTTTGAAAGAATTCAATCAGATATATTCCAGAAAATAAAAGAGATAAATGCATTGTTTTTTTTTCGATTTTCAGTTTAAGTGCAACGAGAATAAGTTGTTTGCAAAATGTAAAAACAATCTGTGACATAGCCCACTAACTTAACCATAATCGATTTATATAAACTATGTGTCAAATGTGAGAGTTAAACTAATTTTTAAATGTCCAAACCACAAGCTCCTTAATTGTATAAGTGATGCTTGATCGATCCATGATGTATATACACACATGAAAATTGCGAAGTGCGCGTGAATTTGCTTTCATCGGTATACATGGTTATTTTTTATGCCCCCGCCGTAGCGGTGGGGGCATTAAGTTTTACCCTTGTCCGTACGTCCCGAAATTGGTTTCCGTTCTCTAACTTGCGTTTGCCTCAACCAAATGTTATGAAACTTATACACAATGCTTATTACCACAAAACACAGATCAAGTTTGAATTTTGGTGGCGTCACTTTAACCGTTCTAGAGTTATGCTCCTTTATAAATGGAAAAATTGCAAAATTTTTAGTGTCCGTTCTCTCATTTAAGTTTGACTCAACCAAATGTTATGAAACTTATACAAAATGCTTATTACCACAAAACACAGATCAAGTTTGAATTTTGGTAGCGTCACTTAAACCTTTCTAGAGTTATGCCCCTTTATAAATGGAAAAATTGCAAAATGTTTAGTTTCTATTCTCTACTTAAGTTAGCCTTAACCAAATGTTATGAGACTTACACACAATGCTTATTACCACAAAACTCAGATCAAGTTCAAATTTGGGTAGTGTCACTTTTACCGTTCTTCGGTTATGTCCCTTTATAACTATATGATATGCAAGCGGGGGCATCATCTGTGTCCACATGTAGACACGATCCACATTTATTTTATCTTTAAATTTAAATGATTATTCTCTCAACGAAAAAATAAGGGTGATTTAGCCTCTACTAAATTAAATATTTAGAAAACCATTCGCCGAATCGTCGGCATTCTCTTTCCCTGATGACATTAGTAAACCTACGAGATGTTTCGAAAGTACTGAAATTTAAGGTATAGCAAAACTTCGGATTCCCTTATAATCATGGTCGTAAAAAGTCACACGAATAAAGTGCTTGGCCATTGACGACCGACTTTGAGGACAAGAGTTGAAATTTTCGATTTCTGTCAACCTCATTTCAAAATTAGATTATGAAGTTTTATATACAAAAATATTATTAAGTGTCACATCTCAATCGGTTAAGCCAGAGCAGAAGAGATACAAACACAAAGCTGATGGAAACCGACTTTTTCTATGTCCACCATCACTTTGCGGCGGGGGACAAAAATAGGGCAGTAGTTTTCATTAAAATATAACATATGTATGTCTAGCCGAGATTGCGTTCTGTTTAATGGTCCTTTTCTGCTGTTACATTTCTTCAACTTTTGTTTAAGGAATCTCAAATATAATGTTCACTCCAGTGGACACTGCGAATTTTGAATTAGCATTTTGTGTTTCAAAACAAACTAGTGAGGTGAGAGATGTTTTTTTAGTTACCAAGTGTAATCCATTCCAATAACGGAATTTTAGCTTTAAATGTTTCAATTGAGGTATTTGATTTTCTAGATAAATATTTGGAATATCTTTCAGGAAACACTGTTGAAAGTGATAAAGAACAGCACATTAAGGACATGATAACGGCCATTAGAGAAAAACAGAAAAATCCTAAGAATGATTCCAAAAAAGTAGAGAAAAAACGTTCAGACGGAGAAGAGAATACGGTAGGTTGTATTTGACAGTGAAGTTATATTATCCGTTCTGTTTGAAAACCTCGTGAGGGGGGGGGAGGGGGGGGTCTAATACTTTATTAATAGGGGTGCTGCTGGGGTTCTGTTACCCAACCCTTTTCCTATAATTTAGATTATATAAATGTAAACCTTTTCATATATTGCGTGGACAAAAATGTAACCTTTCCCCATATTAGCTGGGTTTCGTGTGGCGTAGTGGAAAAGTGGAATACCAAAGTGTCAAAAGAGCGAATTTGTGGATAAAACACAGCCGGGATCACCAAGAAAGATGACAAACGAACTTTATTGTATATTTCTGATAGTTTTCCCCATTGATATCTTAAATTAATTCACTCTTCAAAATGTGCAGCCTTACTATTCACATACACGCAATTAAATAAGAGGCACATTTCGCTTCATAAAACAAAATGAACTTGGGTTCCTGAGTACGGACATTGGCTATATTCGTTATTATGAGGTATTAACAGATGTCATGGTGAAAAACAACAATTAAAGCTCTGTTTCTTCGAACTAGTAGACTCACTTACTTCTAGTACTAGTATGGTGTGTCAAGCACATTTGCCAATTTTTAGCAAGTTATTGCCATTACTTGGCGTCCGTAGTCCTTAGTCATTGTCCGGGGTTAATATTTTTTTCCCGAAATTATCTTATCTACGTATATCAGAAACAATGCGGTCAATTGTATCCAATTTTTCCTACATGTTCCTTAGGGTATATTGTTTGTAAATTATATTCGGGTTTTTGGTCCATAATAGAAATGGCCGATGGTACTAAACAGAATAAAATAGCATAATATTCCCTTTTTTTTATATCTATGATTGATGACCCAAATCGAGGCCAAATATGACCTTCTCTTTTGTAGAAATAAACAAATGATTAAAAATTATAAAAAAAATTATCTGTTGCCACTTGACAAATTTAAACCAAACTTGCTTATAAATGTTTCTTCGTTGGATGCTCCTCCATCATTTCCTATGGTCCTGTTGATTTTTGTCCCCCGGACATGGAAATACCGGGCGTCCGTGTGTCCGTCCGTCCGTCCGTTCTTGTTAGCGCTCTCACGGGTACAATTCTTGCCAGATTTTTATTAATATTAAATAAATGCAACGCGGGGGACATTGGAACTCTGTTCTTTTATTTAATTATGCCTATGATAACCTCTATTTGGTTGACACATTATCGACTTCTCGTTAGAAACAGATGGACCAGTATGAATCAAACTTGGCAGATATGTTCTATAGATTGTTCTCTGTAACAGTTGAATCCTATGACTCTCCCATACATACAATATGGCTGTCTGGCTTATGATTGGTTCACACATTATCGGCATTTCATCAGAAATGACTGGGCTAATTTGAACAGAAGTTGGTATTCATGTTCCTTTGATGGTTTTGATTGGATCAAATGACCCTCTAGATTTTTTGTGGTCCTCTGATTGATAAACACTTGTATCAATTCTTTTTAGAAACTACAAAGCCAATTTCTACCAAACCATGTAGGTATCATTTTTTGGATAATCTTCTATCAAAATTGTGCCCAATTATCTGTTTTAATTTTCCAAATGGCTATATATATCAATGCGAACGATTCGGGCATCCGGAAGCCGTCAAGTTTACCCCTTTTTGTTTACCTAAATAAAGTTTCGTATGCGATATAACCACTACAAAATTATACCAGTCAGTCCGCTTGCAGTTTTTCCTGACCATTTTGTTAAGATTAGGACTTTGAGCCCAAAACATTTTTGTGTTGCCAGAACTATTCTCTCATTTCCGTTCTCAATTTTATCTCATGTATATCTGTTTTCATTACTTTTTGCAGGTTATGAACACGCTTAAAAGAAAGCATAATGAAACGTATACTCGCAGTAAGAACCCAAAGGTACATATTGGTTGGCAACACTACAAGGCCGGACAATACAAGCAGGTTTTCAAAGCCGACGGTGGCAATGTTCGACATCTACTAATATCAACGCTCGATTTAGAAATCGATGACGTTATTCTATTGGGAACAGACGTATTTTATCCTGATGGCAAATCTAAATATGGTCATTTGAAGGAAATGGAGATATACCTGGCTTATGCCTCTGGTCAGAAACTAACATTTGAAAGAGTGAACGCAGCAAAATTTAGGCAACTATCTAAGATTCAATGGACTGCAGTTGTCAAAATGTACATTTTATCTGATGACAAAACTGAGAAAGGATCAATCGTTTATTTAAAAATTGAACAAACAGGCATTCCCCTACACGGTCAGTCAAGCAGCTGCGTATCCATTCAGTCAGACAATTTCATAACCCTGCAGCAGGATCTTGTATCTAATAAAACAGGAAACCTAGAACAACAGCAAGCAATTTCTAACCAACCTCAAAGGTCTATTCTTCTTCCTGTTGATGTATGTGGGACTGTCAAAGAAAGACAAGAAATTGTTATTAGATACTACCGAGAACGTCTGTCCAAGTATTCCGAGGAAACGTCCATAATTTCATGCAGTTCCATTCGTCAATGTAAAGATATCACCTCTTTCGATGAGCCTGTTGCTGTTGACGAAGTTTACAATCCTTGCGACAATGGATTTTCTATTTGCAGAATGCAAATTGGAGGGAAAGATTTCATAGATACAAAATTTGAAAGAATAGATGGAGTACTGAAGAAGACGACCCAATATCCCTCAGCCGGAATCAACATAGATGGTATAATTATTCACGAAGCTCTTGAAATTTGGGGGTACGATGAAGACAACCTCTTGATAGGTCTAGTAATTGGCACCACAGAGAATGTTCTGTATACTTGGTTCAAGGATAACGTCATGATCATCAGTGGATCAATGAACATAATCGTGGTTACACAACCTGGGATATATTCGTGCGAAGTCTCGTTTGCTGATATAAAACAATTGTCAAAAGCCGTGCAAATTATTGCTTTATCAGATATCAATGAAACAACCAGTGACTCCATAACAAAAACAATATGTAATGCTTGCTCCTATCCATCGTCTAGTATGACTACTACTACTTCACAAAACAGTGCTCTACAGTCGACAAGTATAGAAAGAGGTTTCACTAAGGAAGATAAAATAGAAAAGAAGATTGCCACAAATCAACACCCTTTTGCTGTTCCAGAGGTTATTGTAGAAGACCTTAATATAGACTACTCCTCCATTGTAGGAAGAGGAGCCTTCGGAACCGTTTATAAAGGGAAGTGGACCGGATTGGAAGTAGCTGTCAAGGCCATTCCAATCAAGAAGAAAGCTAAAACTGCAATGCTGCGTACTGTAGAAAAAGAAATAAACATAAACTCAAAATTACGTCATCCGAACATTATCCAGTTCTTGGCTGTTGCTCGAGCCGACACTACAATTTATCTCGTGCATGAGTTTATCATGCGATGCAATATGGAGGATGCTATTTTTAGTGAAGATACAAAGCTTGATATTGATATCAAAGCTAGGGACAAACCGCATATCATGAAACAAGTGGTCCAGGCTGTATCATGTATGCACTCTTTGGAACCAGTGGTTCTTCATCACGACATTAAACCGGGAAAAATATTATTTAGAAAAGGTTGCTTAACAACAAAGGTTTGTGACATGGGAATAAGCAGATGATGAAGTCTGTTGGTGCAGCCACGACAACAGCAGTAGGCAGTACTTGTGGATCCCCGGCTTATATGGCACCAGAATGTTTGCTCCGACAAGTAAACACATCCCCGTCTACAGACATATGGTCACTAGGTGTAACTTTTAATGAGTTTTTCACCGAAAAAGATGCATGGTCAGTTGATGATGAGTTAGATCCTGTTGCAGCCATCAAAGATAAGATGAAACAAGAAGTGTCACCAGTAGCTCAAGGTTCAGATATACCAGAAAATGTCATGGTTGAAAATAAAATTGAGAATGGAAATGGGGAATGTGTCAAAGAGACAACAACCCGACCATAGATCAGACAACAGCCGAAGGCAACCAATGGGTCTTCAATGCAGCGAGAAACTCCCGCACCCGGAGGCGTCCTTCAGCTGGCCCCTAAACAAATATGTATACTAGTTCAGTGATAATGGACGCCATAATAAACTCCAAATTATACACAAGAAACTAAAATTAAAAATGATACAAGACTAACAAAGGCCAGAGGTTCCTGACTTGGGACAGGCGCAAAAATGCGGTGGGGTTAAACATGTTTTTTGAGATCTCAACCCTACCCCTATATCTCTAGCCAATGTAGAAAAAACAAACGTACAACAGTACGCACAGTAAAACTCAGTTCAAGAGAAGTCCGAGTCCGATGTCAGAATAGGAAACAAAAGAAAATAAACAAAAATGACAATAATACATAAATAACAACAGACTACTAGCAGTTACTGACATGCCAGCTCCAGACCTCAATTAAACTGATTGAAAGATTAGGTCTTCATCATATGAATATCAGGCACAATCCCTCCTGTTAGGGGTTTAGTATTATACCGTCATAAAATATATGAGAAAAACATAACCCGTGTCATGCCAACAACTGGTTTTAGAATAAATATGTTTAATTCCGATGCAAAGACCCTATAAGTGAATCAATATTAAAGCCAAAATATGCAATCTTTAATGACCTGACAACAGTATCGTAACTATATCCCTTCTTAATAAGTCTGTTTAAAGGTTTTGTTAGCTTTTGAGGTGAATACTGACATGTTTGTGCTTTGTACAGAATATTACCATAAAAGATTGGATGTGAAATACCCGAACGTATAAGATGTCTGCATGTTGAGTTATATTTACGAATGATGTCCTTATACCGATGATAAAATTTAGTAAATGTTTTGACTAGTTTATGATATCGAAAACCCTGGTGTAATAATTTTTCAGTAATACATTAATTTCTTTCGCTAAAATCTAATACGTTGTTACATACACGAGCGATTCGTACAAGTTGAGATATATAAACACCATAAGATGGTGACAAGGGAACGTCACCATCTAAAAATGGATAATTAACGATAGTAAATGAAAAATCATCTCTTTTATCATAAATTTTTGTATTAAGCTTCCCGTTAATGGTATAGATATCAAGATCGAGGAAAGGACAGTGGTCATTGTTAGTATTAGCTTTATTTAAAGTAAGTTCAACAGGATAAATTTCTTTAGTATACATACTGAAGTCGTCATTATTAAGAGCCAATATATCATCCAAATATCTAAAAGTATTGTTAAATTTTTGTATCAGGTGTTGTTTCGATGGGTCTTTGCTGATTTTAGTCATAAATTGTAACTCATAACAATACAAAAACAGGTCCGCAATAAGTGGTGCACGGTTAGTCCCCATTGGAATTCCGACAACTTGACGATATACGGAATCTCCAAAGCGAACAAAAATGTTATCAAGTAAAAATTCAAGGGCAGATACAGTATCAAAGCATGTCCAATTGACATAGCTCTTTTGTTTGTTGCCACTGAAAAATGACCTAAAAGAGTTTGAACATATGTATTCGCATTCCGACTTTTTAAATGCCCATTTAATTAGGTGTGTGAATTTTTTCTTAATAAGAATATGAGGCAAAGTGGTATATAGGGTAGAAAAATCAAAACTTTGAACAGATTCAAAATCACCAATATATGCATGCAATTTATCAAGTACTTCCAACGAGTTTTTGACACTCCAAAAGTAGTTAATTCCACTATTTTCAAAGGCCTTATTTGAACAATTTATTATCAGGTTTTTGATTGTACCAAATGTACTAGTAAGTAGAATAGACAATTTAGTAGTGGAACAATGACTTGAAGACGAAATAAATCTATATTTGTAAGGTGATTTGTGTAGCTTCGGAAGCCAGTACATAGTTGGGACTTTCATTGTATTTGGTTCTGCTTGTAAAGAAGTAGCTAATAGTTTATGTTTGTTACAGATATCGTTTTCTGAAAATGAAGTCAGTTGGAATGTTGGTGAATTCGTGATTTCCTTTTGCAGAACCTCAATGTAAAATTTACGTCAAACTATAATGATATTATTAGCAGCTTTATCAGCCGGGACAAAAACAAATTCCTTGGCTAGTTCTTTTAGTTTATGTTTGATACGAGAAATAGGATTTTTATGGTTGTTGTTAAGAGTAAAATGTTCTTTAAAATGTTGTATACGTATATCAACTATCTTCATTACTGAATTAAAAAAAGAGTCCAAAGATTTTTTGTCAGCTTTTTCCCGTTTATCCATTTCAGACAGTAAGCACGAAGTGAGTCGTGGATGATATTACGACACTCATTCCAATTAATAATTGACGGGGGGCGATATTTAGGTCCTTTACTGAGGAATGATTTTAACTCTCGGTCGCGAACGATGTTAAGGTCTCCTGTTATAACATGGGAAATGGAGCCATAAGTGTATTCGGAATTACTACAATTACATGACGGAGGTGTGTTTTCACCGATATTTACATCTTTTCAGACTTGGCTATACAAACACAAATTTTCGGGTAGATTTCTTGTAAATATAACAAATAAGAGTTCAGTATTATCAAAATATCCCGGAATTTGTTCTTTAACAGAATGGTCGTTAAAAATACCGGCAATATTTACAAAATCAAAACCTTTATTGACATACTTTATTTTAATAAAATGTTTTTTATGATCTTCAGGGCGATCAATTTTGGGAAACAGTTTAGAATAACAATATGCCATTATAATTTGAACGATTTCATATCTAGGACTGCAATATGAAATTGTGTTGCAATCCTCTAAAATTTTATTTAATTTATTTATAGGTAAAGAACAGAGCTTGGTTAATAGATAATGTCTGCCGTTGTTTTTTGAAATAGAAATTAGGTCCGAAATATTTGTATGGTTGGTCCGAAATTTTCTTTGATTGCGATTTTTTCTACGCCCATGAGAACGGTTTTTACGAACAGTTTTAGAAACTATATCCAAAATGTTAACAGAATCGGTTCTTGATATATTACCAATTCCCATGATATTATCATTAAGACCGAGAGGGTAGACTGTCTGTAATTTTTTAATCCAATTTAATTCAATTATTTTCCGTGATCGTACAAACTTTGAATGAGATTCACCAGGCTGCCTATTTACTACTTCTAAAGGTTGAACTGTTAAATATTTAATAGGATGATTGTGCTTTTTAAGATGTTGATAAATGATACTTTTGAATTTATTGGGTCTTTTAAAGCGATACAGGTGTTCTTGCGTGCGTTTAGATAAATATCGTCCAGTTTCACCTACGTACTGAATACCGCATCCCGGTTTGTTTCATGTGAGTAAATAAATAATACTGTTTGTTTTTCAAGTTATATCAGTTTCAAAATTTAAAGAAAATGTGCGACCATTAAAAGTAGACCTTACCGTATTGTTGGTGGAAAGACGGGGACATGTAAGTCATTTTTTGGCATGACACTTATCGATAGAAGGGTAACCACGATTTTTATCGTTAAAAATGTTAGCGATGGTAGTATTTTTAGATAAGCGATTTTGAAGATTGAGACGTGTAGAATTTATTGTATTGAAAAAATGTGTTCATTTTGACACTGCACTACGACCAACTGCCAATAAAATACTGCATGATTTGTCGTAGACATGGCAGATGGAGGATAAGAAAAAAAATACAATGTGTACTAAAGCTGCTTGATTTTGATTTGATTTTTCGTTAATGACCAACTGTGTCTGACCTAACAACAATTCGCATCTTAGTATTTGGCATACACATTGACCTTTTCTTTAAGTGTAATGATAACCGTAGCTACCTTGGACAGACTTATTAAAAACTATTATTTCAATTTATTAAAGTAAGAAAATATGTGCATGTCTTGTATGCCCATGTGTAAAACATATAACTGACGTGTCTTGTATGCCATGTGAAAAACATATTACTATAAGTAAAGATATATGTAGTCTTGAGCATTTTGTCTTGCGTGAACCCACATTAACTAGAGTGTCAATGGACCATTCCGAATTCTTTTATGGAATTCGGATGTCATCATAGTTGTGTTTTGTTGTTGTTATTAAACCATTCGGAATGAAACTAGGAAAGCATCATTTTTTTATTAATTACATAAAAATTCAGTGTAACCCCGCATACTTAATGCGCATCAGGTTATGCAGGGATTGGCATTAATTGTCGAAAATAGTATATTAGCTCAGACAATTCACGATTCTGTTTCATACTCGGTTTTACTTAC